TGCCCCCTTAGGACGAGTGTTCAATGCTTGTGAGATTTGGCCCAATTGAACTTCCAAATTGCGAATAGAAGTGTTATGAGATGCTAGTTGAGCATCGGAGTCGGCATTCTTCTCCATCATTTGTTTAAACATGTTCTCAATTCTACCCATCTCATTGTTGGAAGAGCTCGGACCTTGAGAAGGATAAGGGGCGGGGTTGCTTGGTTGTTGAAACATCGGGGGCCTTTGAAACCTGACCCTCGTTGTTGTTATTGTTACACTCTCCTTGGTTATTACCTCCCCAATAGCCTTGATTGTTGACATTCCAATTTCCTTGGTTATTTTGACCATTCCAATTTGCTTGATTGCCTTGATTGTTCCAATTCGCTTGGTTGTTTTGATTGTTCCAACCACCTTGATTGTTTGAATTCCAATTTCCTTGATTTCCTTGTGGTCACCATTATTGTTGACTTGGGCCTTGATTGTTGTTTCTTTGCCCTTGGAAGTTTTTCATATATTGTACTTCCTCCTCTTGATCATTGTATTGTCCGCCTTGATCAAATCTACTATCATCTTGCTCATAATATTCAACCCGGTTTTGCACTTGAGGACCCCTTTGCCTCCTCTTGTTAATCATTATATTCACTCCCTCCATTGCATTTACTTGATTGGGACCTTGCACTTGTTGTAGTTGAGCTTTGGCCAATTGATTTATTGCGATGGTCAACTCGGCAATTGCTTGCCTATGATCATGTAACTCTTTGTGGAGGTGAATCACATTTGGATCACCATGAGGTACATTAGCTCTACTTTGCCATGCCGATGATGTGTCCGTCATTTTGTCTAAGATATCACAAGCTTCCGCATATGGCGGTGACATGAAATTTCCACCGGCAAGTTGGTTGACCATGCATTGATTTGTAGTGTTGATACCCCTATAGAAAGTTTGTTGAATCATCGCCTCAGTCATGTCATTGTTGGGGCACTCGTTGGGTTCTTGTTTGAAAGCTAAAATCTTATCCCTCAGAGTTGCCATATGCCCGGGAGGAAAGAACTTGGCAATAAATTTCTCGGCTAATTCATCCCTTGTATGAATAGAATGATTTGGCAACCTCTCCAACCAATCCAATGCCTTCCCCCGTAGAGAGAAAGGGAATGCCTCAACCGTAAAGCATCCTCGGAGACGTTGGTCTGTTTACTCCCCCAACAAGTGACGACAAACCTTTCAAGTGCTTGTATGCATTTTAACTCAGAGCCCCGGTGAAGAATCCCCGTTGTTCCAATAGTGTACGCATAACATTTGTGATTTGAAAATTTCCCGCCCTAATGCGGGGTGGGACTATGGCACTTGCGTATCCTTCATTTGGCAACACCTGGTGTGTCGCCGCTCTTGGAGGAGGTGGGGGTGGAACTGGAACATTATCTTGAGGTGGGCAGCCTCGTCTATTCGTTTGGGGTTCAAGAGGAACCTCATCAACTTGGTCATCATCCACGTCCTCCCCCATTGGCACGTTTCCAAGAGGATCATTGTTGTTGAGAGCCATCGTATCACCTACAATTTTTTCACAAAGAGATTAGTAACCAAAAGGAAAAGAAGACAAATCACACACAAAATCAAATATATATCTAAATCCATTTTAAGCTCCCCAGCAACGGCGCCAAAAATTGATGTCGCCCAAACTCACACCACTAATTAGGATTGTAAGGCGGTCGATGCAATTATAAATACCCAATGTGAGTTGGGGTCAATTCTACAGAGAGCTTTATGTGGGATTAGGTATACACCTAGTCTAGTGTATGATGTGCCCTAGATTGCACTTTCACATGATTAGTTGTTTCTTTCTACTTCTAATGATTAGGCTAATGCTTGCAATTGAAAAGCTAAGAGACAATGCTTTTTGTAGTGTTGTTTTTCAAGTTTATAAAAAATTCAGGGTTGTAACTCCGCCTAGATGGTTACCTAACGGTTTGAGAGCTTTAGGTTAGATTTTTCAAAACTCCATGGACATGCAGAAGAGAAATGCTATCCCCACTCGGGCCAAATAGAACTTTCACTTGTTCAAATAATAATTAAGGTGAAGCAAGGTCAGGAACAACGAATCTCTTTATGATAAACAGATCCATTTTGCAAGTTCGTTATTACGGGTAGTTCCTACAAAGGATCGGACTAATGACGTATACAATACTTGAATTCTCGATGTAGATGCTACATAGGTGGTTCTCATCCTTCAGAGACTACGAGTGTAATAAGAGAATCCGTCGACAAATGTTTGGTTGATCGGGATACAATATAGCAATCACACTCGATTACTCACTCTATACCTCTCGGTAGTTTGAGTGATTTTATCCAACTTGTCTTTCTCAAGTCCAAATGGGTATTTCACGAACAAGTGATAAATGCTCAAGTCGGGTCTTACTATCTCTAGATTCAACTTAGTCTCTCTTTCTCAAGTAGAGACTAAGTCAATTAGGCATGAAATCAATGTTTGCAACCATCAATTCTCAAATTCAAGCAAAAACTAGGCTAAATATCATATACCCAATAAAAAATAAGCCCTAAATCAATCACTCATTAAGTACCCATAATAGGGTTGGGTCACAACCCTAGCTATGGGTTTAGCTACTCATGGAAAATGCAAAAATTAAAGAAGAATCTAAGATAAAATTCATAATAAATGATTAAAGGAAGAAAATCTAATGTTAAAATGTTAAACTAATACAATGTTACACAATACAGTAAAGAAAAACGGCTATCTATTTTCAGGTGCACACTTAACCTAAAAATAACAAAAAGATCTATTTATACCCAGCTAAAGTTGTCGGACAAAATTTCCCCTGCGGAGGTTGTGCGGTCCGCACTTTGAAACTTGGCTTGACAGGTTGGACTTCCGCAGCCATACAATTCTGGGTTCCGACCGCACTTCTTCAACTTCTGCAGACCGCACATTTCTGAGTGCGGCCGCACTCTTGATTCTGCGGCCGCACAATAATGGTGCGGTCCGCATTTCTTGATCTTGGGCTTTGGCGTGGGGGACTTCTGCGAACCGCACATTTTTTAGTGCGGTCACGCTCTTGATCCTGCGGCCGCACAATTATGGTGCGGTCCGCACTTCTTCATGGCCAAAAAGTCCATCTCTCTGAACTTCATCTTCTGCGGCCGCACTAGAATTGTGCGGTCCGCACTTTATAAAGGAAAACTGATAGAGGTTGCCTCATGTTCTGCCGCCGCACTCAATATTATGTAGTCCGCATTTTGCCCTTTTAGCCTTGTTTTGGTCCTTGTCCAAAATTACTCTTTCTTGAGTTGATTTTCATCTCTTTAGCTCATATTCCAACACCCCTACAAGAAAGCACATTTCATTAGTTTTCGGGAATACCCTTAAGCAATTTTGAACTAAAACGAAAGTAAAAGAGTGCAAATAAGTAGTCAAAATTCCTACTTATCACATGCCGAGGGTACTGTCCTTCACAAACCGGGGTCGTCCCGTCCCTTTCGTTGCGGGTGTCGCTGATTGAGTCCTCAAGCTGGGACAATTCTTCCCGTTCAATGCGTGCTTCAACGTTTTATGAGTTGTTGACATCGTTAGCTACCATATCTGATTTTTACTAAAGAAGAACTGAAACTTGTTAGTAATAAACGTACAGATCAAAACACTTACGCAACTATCTATGCTCCATGGTGGGCGCCAAATTGTTTACCGATAAATTGATACCATTGAATTTTTAACGTGATTTATAGACAAGCAAATCGATTTGATCAAAAAAGTGATAAAGAAATAAGACTAAAGTTAAGATTTAGCGATTGAAACTAAAGAGGATAACAAGCCCGGTTTCGAGTTCAACCTTTACGATAGCAAAAGTGAGATAAACGATAAAGCAACGATGAAGCTATTAAATTGAGAGCTAAATAGTAAAGTATTCGGGCAAAATAAAGTATATCTTTTGCGTGCAGAATGTTTTGTGTCCTTACAATGGTTGTTAACCTCACTATTTATAGTTTTGCCTAGGGAAACAAGATCCAAGGATCAAGCTCCTCTTTAAATGATAATAAAAGGGCTATTGATGAGTATGTAACAGCAGGCTTTGAATGCAAATATTCTCTATAACGGCTGCTCATTCAATGCTAGCAAAGATTTCCTCATTGAATGTTGTCCGATGGCAAATCTTTGAACTTTTACCGCTGACTACGTTCCCTTCAGAATCCATCTGGTACAGGTCACACACGTCGCATTCGGTACTAATTATTTTCCAACTCGTTCTTTATCTATCTTCGGCCCCACGTGTCATCTTACCATTTGTTATCAACCACTTCTACCCCATACAAAAGGAACTTACTAAAATATTCTCTTGAAATCGGATCAAACAATACAAATATGGTTGTAAGCTTTCAAAATTCTTTGTCAAGGTTCAACCAAGTGTTAAATGAATCCAGATATCAATAACAAAAACAGTGAAGTATTGGTTTTTGGGGAACCGTTCCAATAAAAAAAATGGATGTTTCATAACAAGATTTTTATCAATTTTGTTCCCGATTTTGAGAGAATATTCCAATAAGTTCTTCTGTTCTCTCCTTTAAATTTTTATTTGAAATTAATATTTTACAAGAGTTTGCTTGAAATGATGAATTGCAATTAAGTTGTTGATGTACTTGTGCATATATTGCCTATACATATTATATTGGATCAAACAACTCTGTCAAATAATCATGTGATATAAATACATTTATGTTCTCTATATTTTTGTGGTGCAGTTGCAATTAACAAACTGCATTATATGTTGTTGGATGAAAAATGGGAAATTTAAGTACTTGTATTTTTACATGGATAATATTTTATTTTCTTGAATTTGGATGAACAGATTCCAAATTTCAGTCAACAATTTCAAACACGTAATATTTGTAAATTCTTTGTCGTAGAAGTGTTTTCAAAGGAACAATTTCACGTGCTGGTATACTTTAGCTAATGAATCTCAGTTTCACCCCAAAAATGAGTAAGTTACAAGATTTCAGAAAATATAAGAAGTTCCAGAAAGGAGAAATTAAATTCGGTAGTTCATATCAACGTCAGAAATACTAAAGTTTAACATTGTACAAAAGGTCCATCAAATACACTGGCATCATAGATATAACAGTTTGACTACTTATAGCTATAGATGTATGCTGGTTTATACAAAAATAAGTAAATGGCTGCCTGGAAATATACCCGGAATGGATATAATCACACCTCGCCTGAACCCTCTTCTCCCAGATTTCTCTTGCATTGATTTCTATGTTAAAGATAGAAATGCAAATCTGTAACAGAAAATTCTCTCCATCAGCTATCTACTCACTGTGTGAGCAGCTTTGAGTCACATGCCACAATCTTAACGCGGCTAACAGTCTCCTGGCATTCTTCGCTCTTGAACACAGCATCTTGTAAGATAAAGGTCCACACATTGTCACAGAATCTGTAGGTATGAAGATGTCCCTGCACCAATAGTTGGGCAAATTCAAAGAAGAATGTAACTGAAGCATTATCATGCTAATAAGCCCCAAGAAATCATAGAAAGAACAACCAAATTCAGTAACAGTTAAAGGAGAGCGAAGACAAATAAAAAGGGTCGAAAGGCCTAACAGACAAATATCCATATTTCATAAAAAAAACAGAGGCCTAACAGATATAAATGCTGGAAAAAGGACAATATCAAGGGCATCCCGGTGCACAGGCATCCTGCATTCGTGCAGAGCCCCGGGAAGGGGGGTGTGATGTAGACAGCCTACCCTAGTGCAAGCATTAATGGCTGGTTACACGGCTCAAACCCGACCTATACACAGAGACAACTTTACCATTGCTGCAAGGCTTCCCTTCCAAGAGGTCAGCATCCTTCACAAATAATTTTGACCATAGTATAGCAAAATCAAAGAGATGACAAAAGAAAGGACCTACCAAACAGAAGCCCTAGAGCTCACTTTCAAGGTTGCACAAACTAAGCACACAAGATCTCATTCCACAACTAATGAAATGTGAGCACCTTCTTGAACACTTTTTTTTGTGATGAAAACCTTGTTGAACACCTATCCCACTTGCAGGAACAGTCATGCATATTTTAACATCCAACAGAATGTTGTTCTCGATATATACATCACCTCCAACAGACCGAAAAGTATGACCTAGAGGTCAACTGTTAATGAAGCTACAATGAAGACCATGGAAAATCACGATCAAATCCAAATCGAGACCTGAAGCTAAGTGAATAATCCTATCTGCCTAACCCATGTGGGTAGAGTTACTTGATACCTGTATTAGTAAGAGGGTGTAGGCACCAAGTGGAATAGCCCAGGCACGTAAGTTGGCCCAAACACTACCAACTAAGCTATAAGCTGATTACAAAATTAGCACGGAATGGATGACCAATATCCCTATGCCAAATAGTTGACATCCAAATGTAGTGTTAAAGTTCTATTCTATTCCCCAGAGGAGTAGGAGTGAGTTAGTGTCTGGCTGGACTCTGGTGAAAGGCACTCGCTTTTCCGCTGCTTGTGCATACTTCAATCAATTATTCTCAAGTTGTGTGCAATAGCTTTCTAGTCAAAATTTGTAAGGCAGCCCTCATGATAAGTGGAAAGACATGTTGCGTTAGAAAGATAATAGAATAAACAAGGGAGTGGAATGCATACAGGAATCAAGATGAAGAGCAAAATCTGAGGAGTCTAAATATAAACTTACTTTGTAAAATCAACCTGAAAGGAGGCGGTCTCTTAAGCTTCAGGTTCAACCATAGCTTTTATTGTGACAGTTGTATAATAATCAAAGCAGTATGACTTGAGCCTTATTGTGACAAGTTGTCAAGTCAAAGGCTGTTGTGCAATTTCTGATTTAAAATTAGCAATAACTTCAAGTCTTCCCTCATGTCTTTCTTGTCATCAAGAAGGATCAGCCAGTTAATTATTTTATTTCGAGTAAAGTACCAGATCTTGAAAGATTACTGTATTTTACTGGATTAAGTTCTTTATATAATTTGCTCTTACAGGAAAGCACTCCTCAGAATCTGTTAAAATTTACAGCAGCTTTTCTTCTAATTCAAGCTCAGCTACTGACCAATCATCCACCATACCTACACCTTCAAAGACATCAACTGAAAGACTTCTCTCCTCATTTAACCACTTTAAGATACCTACCCCATTGAGTTGGTTTTTCATGACTCCTGACGGTCAGGAGACACAATTTGGGTATACTACCTACCTATATGCTGTAGATGTCTGTTGTAAAGAATAAGAAAATCAATAAAATCAGCCTCCTAGCTCTGATTGCAATCACTTGGCTATAGAAGATAACTAAACTCTACGCCTAGATGTTAACATCCGATGTCAGTCATATCATATAAGACGGAAAAATATAGCAACTAATGATCTATCCTCTTCAAATCTTTTTGTTTTTTCCTAAAGAAGAATGATAAGCTTCAGTCCGATGGATTAGAACGAGCATGATTCAAGCGGAAGACCTCAAGTTTTGCAACTGCAATACTTATGAGGTCCATTCTCGAATGTTACTAGACAAAGAAAGCGTAAAATATATGTGCCTGATCTATTGATAATTTAAAAGAAAGGGAAAAGATGTGAGTGAATGCTATGTCTCAAAAGTAATATGCTAGATATCAACACAGCACACAAATCCAGCAGGATGCAGCCAACCAAAAGTTGCTTCTAAGTTAACAATTTTAGGGCGGGAACTTTATCCACCAAGTTTTGAACCATGCGCCAGCTGACACTCAGGGATTTCTCGGTTATCAAGAAAAAAGGGTCTGTCTTATACGCTTTTGGTTTTGTTCAAAACAATGCTATTCAAATTCATTGATGGTGTCAAGAATGAGAGGAACCAGCTGATATCCTAAATTTTCAACTAATGAAACACAAACATTTCAATTTATGGTGAAACAGAAACTATTTGAGGTGCCAAAGATATCTTAACAGAAAACAAGCCAATAACCCATACCAACATAAGTGAGGTTTAGAGAAATGTTGCTCATTGATAGATCACGTCCCATGTTCTACTGTATATCTTAATTCGAGTCCTGGCCAAGTGGGGAATATTGGACAACACCCCCCCCCCCCGTCTCTCCCCTACC